ATTGCTTCGAAACAAACATCGTTTTATCGAGATGGTATCGCCCAGTTGCCAGAAAGATGGCAAAAAGTTGTAGAAAGTGATGGAAAATACTTTCATTAAAATAATTTAAATAAATTTTTTACAATAAATGTTTTTTCTCAGTATTTTTTGGGCGGAAACTAAGTTAAGGTCCTAATACATCCCACACAGCACGTAATATTGCAAAAATATTGCAGTGATATTGCAATATAGTGGTAATATTACATATCGCAGTGAAATATTACAGAAATATTACTGAAATATTGCACCTTTACATATATCATTGAAATATTACAGAAATATTACTGCAGTATTACATACTTATATCATTGAAATATTACACATTTATATCATTGAAATATTACACTTATATATTTGCAATATTATAGTTAAATTATAGCAATATATCATATTCTAAATAAAATGGTGACATCAATTGACATATCAATTTCTTTGACATTATAGATATCATTAAAACGTTATTACGGCGTCATTTGAAGTCACCTTCCCTTACAGAAATAGTATTTTTTAAAAGTTTCTTTTAAAATTTAGTATTTCAATTTGTTTAATATCTCAAATATCTGTAGCCTGGAAGGGCTGGAGGAGGCCCGCAAAAGGCAGACGCAGCAGGCCGCCGAGGTAGGGCTGCTCAAGGACGAGCAAGCCCTGCTGAGGCGGCAAAATGAGTGCCTGCGCGAAGGCATATTGGCGGCCCCATCGCCCGGCCCCTCTGCAGAGAGGGGGTGTCCTCCGGAGAGAGGGGAAGAGGAAGAGGGAGGTGGTTGAGGTGGGTGCAGAGACAATGTCTCCCCTTTCCTCCCTCTCGTCCCCCGACCCCAGGGAGAGGAAGAGGAGGAAGGAGGGGAATAAGAGGAGGGTGCAGAAGATCGTATCTTCCTCCTCCTCGTCCTCCCAGGAGAGAATGAAATGCGAGAACGGGAGAGACGGGCGGACTCTCCCTCTCTCCCTCCCGCTTTCACTGCCGCTCACGGATGAGCAAAGGGAAGTGGGGGACAGGTGTCGAGCGGAGGTAAAAAGGGACGTGGCGGGGGGCACGCTGCCCCCGGTCAACGTTCCCTCTCTAAAGGCGCGGGGGGCACAAAACCCCAGCGGCCAGAACACTCGCTCTCACTCCTCCCTGAGGAAGGAGACCCCCGCTGCGACGCGGGCGGCGGGTAGTGGGCCTCCGCGACCACTGCCGCTGCCACGTAAGCGGTTGGGCGGGGGTGGTGGGCCGGTGGCGTCGGGTGGGCGACGAGACCACCCCTCGATGAATCAAGCGAGTGAGCCCATCCCTGGTGGCCGGGACGCTGGCCTGGGGGAATAGTGGGAGAAGCGGGTGGCGGCCCTCGTAGTAGCGTTGGTTCCCCGATTGCTGCGGGAGATGGGATTCGCCCTTCCTCCTCCTAGGGACACCTATGCCGAGATGACTGGGTGCTCGCGGGGGATGACGGGGGGCCATGGGGACCGCCGGTCATTTCTTTCTTTCTCTCCTCTCCCTACTCCTGCTGGAGATGAGGGGCAAGAGAAAGAAGAAGAAGACGACGAAGAAGAGCGGGCAGAGTGGCGCAGGGGAAGGCGCCATTCAAAAGGCCCGTCAAAGAGGCAAGCCCCCCGCCCTGGACTGGACCGCAGCGCGGTCCAAGGGGGGTTCTGCTCCTATCTCGGTCGCCGAGGATTGAAGGAAGGTGACCGGGAGGAAAAAGAAAAGGAAGAGAAAGGGCGCTAAAGAGGTCCCTGGACCGGCGGCTCCGAAGCCTCGGCAACAAGCCGGGGCGGAAAAAAACGAGTCCGGGGGAGCCAATCGCCCTCCTCAGAATGCCCGGAGAGGACAGGCGGACATCCCCAAGGTCCCTCGCGCCGCCGCAGTCACAGTCAGTTGCCCAGCAGACACATACGCTGATGTGATGCGGCGGGCGATGGAGAGCATTGATCTGGGCGAACTCGGGATTGGGGAGATTAGGAGCAAGAGGGCGGCCACCGATGCTCTCCTCCTCGAGATCCCCGGTCCCGAGTCGCATGCGAGGGCGGATGCCCTCGCCGGTAAGATGTCGATCCTCTTCGCCGACACGGGGAACGTGCGGATAGCGCGTCCCTCGAAGAGGGCCGACATAAGGGTCCGCGACCTCGACGATGCGGCCACCGTGGAGGAAGTCGTCTCCGCGGTGGCGGTCGCCGAAGGCTGCAGGCCCGGTGAGGTAAGGGCAGGGGCAATCCGCCCCGAGGGGGACCGCATGGGGGCGCTATGGCTCCAGTGTCCCCTTGAAGCCGCCCGCAAAGTCTGGGACGGAGGGCGCCTCAAAGTAGGCTGGTCCTCCGTCCGGGTGGAGGCCCTGACGAAGCGCCCCCCCAATGCTACAAATGCTTGGAGTGGGGGAACGTCAGGGCCTCCTGCAGGAGCAGCGCCGACCGCAGTGGTCTTTGTTACCACTCCCGCGGCGTGCGACGCACTGGCGACATGCCCGGTGTGTCGCGACGCCGGTCGGCCCTGTGCCCATAGGGTTGGAGGTCCCGCCTGCCAAATGGGCAAGCGGGGAAGCGGGGGTAAGGGAGGGAGGCGGAGACGCAAGGCGTCTGATAAATCTTCGCCCTCTAAGCCTCCCGCAGTCAAGGAGGGGGTTCCCGTTACCACTCAGGCGGAAGGGGGTCCCAAAGCCCCAGCTCCTCCTGAGGACTGCTCCCTGCTCCATTGGGGCAGAGGCCTCCCTCGGTGAAGACCGGGGCGAAGAGAGGCGGCGGTGCTCGTGCCGAGGGGGTCCAGAATAAGGACTCCTCGGCCGAGCGTTGCAATAAAAAAAAGAAGGATGGCCTGGAGGAGAGCGGTAAGCCGTAATGGCGACCCGCCTCCTCCAGCCGAATCTGAACCGCGCTCACGGAGCTCTGGACTTTTTTGAACAGGTCCTCCGCGAGCGCGGTTGCAGGCTGGGGATCGCCGCCGAGCCCAACGCCGTCCCCGGGAGTCACCCCACAGTATAGTGGGTGACGTTGAGGGGCGGCGTGGGTGCTTGGTAGCGATCCACTGGATAGGAGGAGAGGCATCTCCCCTCTTCTCGTTTATTGAGAGGGGTGAGGGGTTTATCGCAGTCGAGTGGAAGGCCCTGGACGTGGTCGGGGTTTACGCCCCACCCTCGTGAGACCTCGCCCAGTTTGAGCACCTATTGGACCGGCTGGGGGAGCTCATGTCGAGGCGTCCCCAAAGGCCAGTCCTCGTGGCCGAGGACCTCAACGCCAAGTCGGCGTTGTGGGGGTCCTCGGCCAGGTGCCATTGGGGCGAGGTCATGAAGGAATGGGTCGCGTCTCACGGCCTCTGTATCATCAACAGAGGCCGAAGGAGCACCTTTGTCCGGCCGCGGGGGAGATCGGTGATTGACGTCACCCTAGCGTCTCCCCAAGCGGCTCAACTGATACAGGACTGGCGGGTGGTGACCAGCGGGGAGAACCTCACGGACCACAGATATATTGTGGTCCGGCTGGTCGCAATCCCTGAAGAGGTGCTCCAGAGGCGTGGCCAGGTAGGCGCCCGACCGCACAGATAGGCCCTCGCGAAGCTCGACCGCGACAAGTTGGCGGCCGTCTTAATGGCGGCCACATGGGGGGTGCCGGGTCCCACACCGTGGACGAGGTGGCCGGGACTCGGGACATGATGACGGCGGCGTGCGATGCCGCCATGCCCCAATCCCGGCCACATCCCCGCCGGTCCGTATACTGATGGTCGGCGGAGATTGCTGAACTTCGGCGCTCCGCCGGCAGCGCCAGAAAGGTGATGGACCGGCGGGGGAGAGAAGGAGAGGGCAGGGTGGCCGCCAAGAGGGCTTACCGCGAAAAGCGGGATGCCCTCAAAAGCAGCCATTGCTGCGGCCACGGCCCGTGCCTGGGATGACCTGTTCTCCACCATTGACAGGGACCCATGGGGGCGCCCTTATCACATCGTAATGAGGCGCTTGCGTCATTGGCCGCCCCCACCGACGGCGTCCCTGGACCCCGACTTCCTTGATAGGGTTGTGGGGGCCCTCTTTCCAGAGGGGGAAGCTTGTATTCCCCCCTATGAGGGCTTCCCTCCAGATGGGGAGGAAGAGGAGGTCGGGGTCACAATCGTGGAGATGGACAGGGCCGTCAGGAAGCTCGGCGCCAAAAAGAGGGCGCCGGGCCCTGACGGTATCCCAGGCACAGTTTGAGCCTTGGCAATGAGGGTGGCAGAGGTGAAGAGCCGCATAATGCTGCTCTTCACCTCCTGTTTGAGGACCGGGGTGCTCCCCAGCCTCTGGAAGAGGGCCAACTTGGTCCTCTTCAGGAAGGCAAAGCGGAGGACAATCCTTCCGCATACAGGCCTATATGCCTGTTGGACGAGGCGGGCAAATTGTTCGAACGGATAATATACGCCCGCCTCGTCCGGCACCTGTCCCGGGGTAATGACTCTCAAAGGGAGCGACGTAGTCTAAGCATGCCTCGAGCATCCCCCGCTGCTTCTATTAGCCAACCCTACCTCCGCGTGGTGAAAGTCGGGCAACGTCTGGACGCCGCCACGTCCAAGCGGCCGACGGGGCCCTGGCTGCCCGTGCGCCTCAAAGGGCGGACTCTTCCCTCCGCCCACGTGCCTAGTCCATGGTGAGATTTGGGGCCAAGAAAGGACGGGGTTTTTCCAGCGGTAACGGGAACGGTGGCGCCCCGAGAGCCTCGGTGTTCGGAGGACTCGAGCGGTATGAAATCCGCAGAGACAGTCCATACTGTCCGAGCACTGGAGCCAGTAGGAGTGCCGCCCGGCCGTGCCGCTTCCTTCCCTTCCCAGTGGGAGCGGGACATGACGACGCCTTGGTAGGACCGATACCTAAGCGGCTCGAGCAGTATGAAGTCCGTGCAGACAGCCGAGTTGGGTCGGATACTGGTACCGCAAAAGGTGCCGCCCAGCCGCGTCGCTACCTTCCCCCCTCTTTCTCCCTTCCCTACACCTCTCAGAGAGGTATCCCACACTTGAGCAGTCCATCACCCTTCGCCTTCCCCTGCTGCATCGATGATGTAGGGGAGGAGGCAGGGGCTGCCTCGCAGCCTACTGGACCCTGCGTTCCTCCGCTTCGGCGGCAGGGTCGACGGAACCGGGGGATTTTTTTCTTTTCAGGTGCAGAAAACTACACAGCATTGCCGCGAGCACATAATTGGCTCGGCGCCGCGACCGTCGGCCGTGGACGGGACCGTCATGGCGCTAGCGGCGAAGAACCCAAATCCTCTATTTCCTCCTCTTCTCTTACCTTGGGCGGTCCTTCGCCTTCCGCCCCGCCTCATTGCATCCGTGATGCAGGAAGGGGGGCATGGGCTGCCAAACAACCTGCCGGGCCCTGCGTCCCTCCGTTTCGGTGGAAGGGACGACGGAACCGGGGGTATTTTTCTTTTTTAGGTACAGCAGAAAAAACACAGCATTGCCGTGAGCACATAATTGGCTCGGCGCCGCGGCCATCGGCCCTGGACGGGACCGCCATGGCGCTAGCGGCGAAGAACCCAAACCCTCCACTTCCTCCTCTCCCCCTACTCTTAGCGGTCTATAGCCTTCCGCCCCCCTCGCTGCATCCCTGATGCAGGGAGGGAGGGTAAGGGCCGCTACAACAATCCACCGGGCCCTGCGCCCCTCCGCTCCCCGCGGCAGGGTCGACGGAACAGGGGATATATATCATTTTCAGATCCGAAGGGGAGCAGTGCGGTTTAGACATGGCTCTGACCATCCCCCACTGCAACTCTTTTCTTCTCCTCTTTTTCTTCTTCCTTCTTGTTCTTGTCACCTCTCATGAGGCAGTGTGCCCGAAGGGCAGCCAGGTTGGAGGGTCCCGATAAACCTATCCTAATAACCAATCATGAGATTCAGGAGGAATAACGTTACCTGCGGCGGGTCGGTAACGTCGCGCCGGCACGGGGGGTTATGGTCCCAGGCTCTCCCTTGTCGTCATCGAGTGATGGGCTAAGTGACGTAGTTCAAGCCGGCGCGTCTGCGGCGGGCGCGCCGGTGGCTCGGGTTACCGCCGTTGGAGCTTCGTCTCAAGGTCGCAGCCTTCGTGCAGTCTCGGTTAGGCTGGTTAAGTGCGACGAAATGCCCACGCCGGATCCTTATGACCGGGTGAAGCAGAATAGAGTAGGAATCGGTGTAGGATCCGCGTCCGCGCCCACGTCCGCGTCCGCGTCCGCGAATCGAGTTCGCTCGCTCAATAACCCCCCTCAAACAGTTTCTGGTGATTCCTATCCATCGCTAGGATCCACGGGCATTAGGGTCATGCAGCTGAACATGAGGCGTTCAGCTGTGGTTAGTGGCGAAGTCCGTCAGCTCGTAGCCCAGAAACGACTGGACGTCCTGCTCTTGCAAGAAATGCACGTCCGCAAGCAAAGCTCGAGCTTCGCCATTCTTGGGTTAGGGCAGGGAACGAGGGTTGCACGCTCGGAACGTCCGTGGGCTGCAGTAGCTGTTTCAAACCCCTCGTTCCATATCATGAAGATCTCGCAGCTCAGTACCGCGCACTGTGTGTGCGTGGAAGTGCGGGCACCCGGCTTCTCCTTCTACGTCGCATCGTGCTACTTCCAGTACAGCGACGAGATTGAGGGGCACCTCAGGCACCTCAAGGCGGTGTTTCATTCTCTGAGGGGGAAGAGATTGTTGGTAGGAATGGACGCCAACGCGCGATCCCCCATGTGGGGTCACCGCAAGGTGAACGATAGGGGCGCGAAGCTCGAGGAATTCATCCGCGCTTGTGGATGGAAGATCCTCAACGCTCCCGGAGTCGCCGACCTACTGGACATCATGGGGATCGTCACATATTGACGTGACCCTGGCGACTCCGGCCATGAGCCAATTTTCGGCGAGTGGAAGATCAGGTGCGACTGGACGACGAGCGACCACAGTGCCCTGGACATCCGGCTGAGGGTGCCGAAAGTCAGAGGCAATGACCAGCCTACATCGAGCACTCGGTTCGACGCGAGTCGTGCCGACTGGGAGAAGTACGCCGATAGCCTCATTGACCTTTCCGCGTCGAGACTCAGGATCCTCAGTCTGGAGTCCGCAGGTGGGGTGGAGAGCTTCGCGAAGTCCGTCTCACAAGTTTTAGTTGAAGCCTCGGAACGGGCAATGCCCAGAAAGAGGCGTTTTAGGAAGTCCAACCCGTGGTGGACGAAACGATTGACGGTCCTCAAGAAGGACGGCTATAGAGAACGGCGTGCATACCAGCGGGTAAACGCGGAGCCGCTCCGTGCCTCCGGCCGAAGTGTCTACCTCTCTTCTTTGAGGATGTACACGAGGGAGATGCGAAAGGCGAAGCGTGACAGCTGGCGGAAATTCGTGACAGAGGTGGCAAACTCAGAGCCATGGGGATTCGTGTACAAACGCGAGGCCCGGAACCTCCGAGTGGACGAAGTGCTCAGCAGCCTCCGCCGCGATGATGGCTCCTCGACCAACTTAGAGGAGACCGCTAGGCGCCTGCTGGAGGTGCACGTCCCTGATGACCGGGAGAACGAAGACACGCCGAGGCAGCGTGAAATCAGGGGAAGCGCGTTCATCGTACCCGATGGCGACGATGCCCCGCTCTTCACGGAGGCAGAAATCGTCGCTGTCGCGAAAACCCTGAAAGTTAGGAAGGCGCCTGGCCTGGACCTTGTCGGGTGTATATCAGTTGGACACGGGGCAATTGGACACAGTCCAATCACAAGTCGCTGTTCCAAGGGACCCTACAAATGTCTCTAATCA